TCGCGTTTATTGCCTATTTTATATAAACTATAACTATAACTGTAAAGTTTCATGAAAATTCGTTCAGTATTTTTTGTGTGAAAAAGTAACAAACACCCATCCATACATCTATACTACATAATTCATACTCACAAACTTTCGCGTTTTTAATATTAGTATATTTAGGTAGGTTAGGTAATGTAGAATAGTGCTAAGTGAGCTTAAATCTCTGGTTTTAATTACTCCTTTTATTCGTAAGTAGTCAAGATAAATAGGGTTGGTGGATTTGGTTTGGGCTTATGTATTATGTACGGTACCTTCGATGAGCTGAAGGTTATTAATTTCTTACTTTTTTAGTATATAGAAATATTCAAACTCCGGTATTCCTCATTAGTATTTAAAATATGCATTTTTTAATCAAAAATCATTTATTCATGTAGGACATTTTAGCCGGCTATGGTCGGGCCTGGAAAGGATTGCCTCCGTTTGTAACCGGGAACCCGACCATGCTTAAAAAGAAGATAGCTCAGTTTTTAAAGATGAGGTTTGTTTTTTGACCAGGCAATGATCATAAAATTTTTTGTATTAATATTTTTTCCCTATCATCCATTTTAGTATTTCTTCCCAGTTCTTCTCAATTGAATCTGTAAGCCTTTACATTGTATAAATATCTAACATTAAATGAAAATCCTGTGCATGAACAACTATTGCCATGTTTGTCGTTTAGACATAGACATTTTAATGCTAATTTCAGTATATCTTTTGGCATTCATATATATTCCCATAAAAAAACCCATTGACTTTTCTAAACGATACTTAGGAATATTAATTTAATTCATGTGTAAAACATAACTCATTTAATAATTATATGGCATGTGAAATGTAGGTCATGAATCGAGCTAACCAATGTCTTTTGAACATAACAACTTTAATTTGAATATTTTCTGTTTGTCCCTATAAAATATAATAGTTCGTCTAATGAATTTAGTTATGCGAAAGATAGTCGTACAACCTTTGAGAGTTGGACCACAAACAGGGAATATTAAGTTTAAACATTATTGAACATTTTATTTGTCTGATATATTGCTATTGTGAAAGTTTCTTGACGGTTTAATGTCAGCGTTATACTGTCTCTAGAGTGTCCTAATCTAAAAACGGTTTTGGCCTAATTTTGGCTTACTTCTTTGTTCGTTTGAAGTAGCAGAAATACAATTTGCAATTGTTTTAATTAGTTTAACAGAGATTTAATATATTATTTTTAAAGCTTAAGCTACAACGCTTTATATTTACAAAATAAAAGACGAATGATTTTCTAGTGTCATACATCACGCCAACCTTGTTAATCTGTATCAAAGTTATTTTATATATGCAAATTAATTTTCCGCAATATTTATATAAAAACTTCTTTTGCATATATTATTTTTTAAGATGCCGCAAATCATTCAAATTTCACCCTGTTTATACAATTATATTAGTAGAAGTAAATGCATTATTCGTATGTATGGTATGGCACAAGCTTACGTTAGGAGCTGGATAGTTTTTAGAATAGAATGTCACAAACATGGCCTACTTTTAAATTCTATTGTAGAATGTTTGCATTTGTGTCAAGCACAGTCACTGCGTCCCCTATTTCAATAGACATGGTACTTTTCATTTTACTAACAACTTTCAATGTCATGTTACTGCTGTGTGGGTAATATTTGAATACCTATTTACCATCTATTTCTGCTGCCAAGTCGTTCACATTGCATCCTGTGTTCTGAGTTGAAAGGTAAGTTATGATAGTGAAATTGGCAAAGCTTAGACCATATTTTGTGCTATTCATATCTATAAGTAACGGGTATAGCATACTATCTTGTACAGGAGGAACAGTGTTGATTGTTTCCGATTTGTCATTTAACAGTACACATTTTGGTACTATATGAAATAACTTTTGTAATATGACATGGCAAGTAATTTACTTAGTGGTGGCATACTTAGTTTACATAAACTTAGATACGTTGTTTATCTCCACTTTATGATATATATATATATATATGTCTGTAGTTATTCACACCGCTGCAAACTAGTACAGTATTGTAATTACAGTTTCACGTGTAGAGTCAAATTAAATGCTTTGAAACTTGAATTTGAATTGTAAATTGTATTTAAGAGGACTTGATAGTTTACAGTGTTTTTTGGAGGTGATCATTTTAGACACAAGACATATTTGTTTTCCTTTGACCTCTGCATCGGGTTTTAAGTCAATTTTATACCTTATTTTTATGTCGAGTAAAGTAAATTTTGGTATTGTTGGATGTTTTTTAAATATCTATGTTTATCAAGTTTTATGACCTTATATTTTTATTTTATCGTGGCAATTGATATTGAGATTAAAACCGAAAAACAAATATAATAATGTTCAAAATACAATGCACTTATTTTCCTTGCGCAAAATTTCAAGCATGTAGAAGCTTTACCGTACACAATCTGTTATCTCCAATTCTCGAGGTAATTTCAGAAAATTTTCTGCTTTAGCGATATACTAAAAGATTTCAAATACATCAAAGAAAACAAAATTCAGTTTCTAGTGTTATCCCATTTTGGATGACAGTTGGGAAAGCTTATTATTATTTTTATGGTTTATACAAGTTAAAACTAATATACTTGCTTAGAATTTATTTTTAATTATTATTTTTAGATATTTTAACATCTAAAAATAATTAGAAATTCGAAAATTGTATGTATTTATGTTTATGTATGTGAATGGAATGACAACCAAGCTGACGGACGGTAAGTGGTATCCGTCGCCTATATACTATCGACATATCAGCACACTAGCACTGTGGACATATCAAACTAGTTATCTGGCCACCGATCGATCCCCCTTCAGTTCAAACGGGGATCGAAATTACGACGCCTCAGCCGAGATACGAACTCCTAGCAATACCTTTAGACTATAGTCAGGCGGGAGTTGGCCTTCAGCCACTCCATAGTCCTTTCATGTGTTTGGAGTTACACTCGTCCAATATCGTCCGGTGAAGCTGTAAAGGCGAGCTGCGGCCAACAGCATTAGAATAGTCCGAAAAAACCGTATCTGGTAATTTTACTAACATATCTTACCGTTCAATTAAAATACAACTTACAAAGCAAGCAGTTTGTTGGCTGAAACAGGTGAGACAGAGGTATCTTCGCAAATGAGTTTGTGTAAAGTCGAAGTCTGCCTTTCGTATTTGAGTAACGAGCAGGAATATAATTCTCTTTTTACTTGTTATCTACTCTTTATAAGTCTGACTGTAGACAGATTAATACTAAGCTCTAGAGACAGCTTCGGTCTAAACTCATGGCATGAGATTGATTTCCCGGACGTTGGTATTACGTAAATTCCGTTTTCATTGAGCGTTGGCTTTACTTCTTTTACTGGACTGACGCTCAGTGATTGGAGATTACAATATAATCAGGCAAAATTCAAGTTAACAGTAAAAATCTACAATATTATGTGAGGTATTAGCGTCATATACTAGCTTATTGGTATTTCGATGGAACACTTTGGTAAATATCTCAAAAATATCATTGGTGTCAGCTGCTATTGACTATCAGAATATTATTTTCTATTCATTTGAATATAGTTTTCTATGAATAATGAATATTGAAATAACACAGTAGTCGAATGAAATCCAGGTTTAGTATATCATATCAGTATAAGAGAGCCGATTGATTATAAAACAGTTGGTGGTTGAATGGTTTACAAAAAAAATTGCATTGTATGTAGAATCAGAAAAATAGAGGCATGCAATGAGAATAATAACGTTCATATAATTTGTGATGTAATCTAAAAATGGTTGTTTATATGTAATGCCAAATACATATAAACAAACTACCCATTATATACACAGTCTCTTTTTAGTACCAATTTACTTATATTTTCTACTTAAATGAAATTGATAAATGCCCGCTAACCCTGTAACATTGAATAATTGTAAAATTAAATATTATAAATTGTAAAAGTTTTAACATAATTTGCATAAGAATCGCATGAAGGATTTTCAATATACAATGGCGAATTTTTACCATTGAGTGATTTCACCCCGTCAAACTTCGTCGTCCTCGGATAAGTGATCACACGAAAGATACCTTCGTAAATCGTGAAGAAAGAAAATGGCTTACAAATTTCACTTGGACAAGATATCTTATCTTGTTATAATAGATATAAGAATTTATTAATACTATACAGGCAGTGGTAGTATTAAATCTGGCAGTTACATTAGGTAACATTCCATTTTTACCCAAATCGTTAACATTGTACGGTCCTGCTAATTAAAAAATTTCAAACATTAAAGTGATAAAATCCCGAGATTTTTGGGTCGAGAATTCGATAAAATCCCGTGCGGAAGTTTTAATAAATTTTACCACAAATTTCGCTTTCCGCTCAGGCCATTTTATCAATTTAGGGTTGTTGTTATCTAATTAAGTAGTCATTTTAATGAGAATGTAATATTCAGTAAATAATTTTATATTTTGCATTGATATTGTGCTATTGCGCTAATATTTAATTTTATATTTAACATTATGAATTATAAATATCTGTTGTCATATAACGTTTTTTAAAATAAAGTAGACTACAATAAAGGAACATAATAATATATATAGACTTATCTAATATATTAGATTAATATATTAGAATAAACTTATCTGATTGCAAAAAATATATATGATACTTGAAAATAATTAGCAATAACAGTTTCAACTTGCTCAACTCTAATGTGAATAGAGAGCAGAAGTTTAAAATAATATAAACTTTCACATGCATAATAGGCGTGCATAAGAATTTACACAATATATTGTATAAAGACCTGTAGTATTATTTTTCATTCTTTTATTTAATCAAAGAAGAGAAATTTCTCAGTATTTACTTTATGATCTGAAATGAATATAATTTTTAATCAATGGTTTATACTATACGTTCTTTCGTAGTCTCCGTTCGATTAAAGTAGATAATTATTATTATGGAATAAATAACATATTTTTGTTGTTGTCTGCAGAGTAATGTCTTTGGTGCCCCCGGGGGGCGCGGACTCGCCCAGTCCCCGCCGGGCAGTCAGTCCATTGCTGGAAATGCGTAGACCCCATTGCACATTAGCCTGTGATTACTGCGCAGCTATACTTGAGGATAAATTTAAACGTAAGTATTGAAAACAACTATTTTAATTAAAATATTGCTTCATCATTGCCTTGCCTTTATATTATATATTATACTTAGAGTCGGCGCAGTAAGCTCTTCCACTGATCCCTATCGGCCGTCATATCATCGTATCTCTCTTTTTGTATACATTTTCATCCATACAAGCCATTCATGTTCATGTTATATACTTTAATAAAAAAATATTTCTCGCTCTACAATTGTATCAATACAAAAATAGTCCAGAAAGTACTGTATAAGATAATTCTCTGTTTTGACTATGGCTTCGTGCATAGATATCCCATTTATTGATAATAAAACAACATGAAATAATAAATATAGAGGCTAGGTAGACTATATACACAGTCTACATAGTTATCTCTGTATCTTCCATTTCTGCTATATGTAGCAAGCAAAACAATTATTTGTAATTAAGCATTAAGAATTTTGTAGATATCTTGAAAGCAAGAGATTACACTATATTAAAATTTGGGAGATATTACGGTTGGATAGTAGAAACGGTTGTTAAAGGAATTATAATCGTAAATTATTTTAAATTATACAGTATTTCATAAAGTTCTCTAGCGACCGCTATTCAACAACTCTCAGCTGGAATTTTAGCGATGAATGCGATTTATCGTGGAACAGGGCAGATGCCTCGAATCGTGTAATTAGCGTAAAAATTTGTGCACGAAAAAATTCCACTTCCCGTACAATATTAGTATAGCAATAAAATTTGTAAGCATGATTAGCAAATGATTTCTCACAAGATTATGTAAGACTTGTAGTAAACTACAAGATTTTGTGAGTAAATTACAAGTTTTTAGAATTTCTTTCTTTGTCTATTGTGTTGTGACATATTAGATATATAGTGAATATATACGAAGACAAATCTTTAGCTATATATTCTATACATTAGTAAAAAAAAGTATTTGTCGTATGTGTAACTCAGAATATAGTTTATGAGTCAACTTGATTTAAATTTAATTCTTTTTATTAATGGGGTGGTTTCATGAGGGGAATGTACTTGCTAATCAACTACAGCTGGCATTCTATTTCGGTAAATGTCATGATAATAAAAATCGTATTCAATCGTTATGATCGTAGGTTTTACAAATATCGGCTATGTGGGTATGAAATATGTGGCAAACTTACCATCTATTTCATTCGCAAAGGAGCTTGTTTTATAAAGTGTGTTTCGGTTTCAGGGCAGTGAAATTACATAAGAGTAGTAGTTCTCTAGAATGTATCTCGGCCGGCACATAATAACGTGATATCTGTAGTACTATTCAGGAATTTTGGCGAAGGTTATACCACTATATCAATAGTCATTGATTGTTTTTAACTACCATTTGGTGGGGCATCAGTTTGTTTTCATTTACAATTATATAAAAAAATATTTTTGACATAACATGAAAATGTAATAAAGTTTGTTTTTCCACAATAATATGTTATTTAAAGAAACATATATAAATATTTTTTTCACTAGGTAATGCCGAGATGCGTAATCGGGGTACGTCACCACTGTCTGCGTCACCGAGACAGTCTCTGACTGGCGAGCCACCTTGGACATTGCCTGATGACGACCGACCAGATTTTTCAGCTCTTAAAGAAAACATACACAGAATAAACAAGTAAGTATAGTACATAGAAGCTCCTAATTTTGTAGACATATATTTATATACTTGGTGAAGCGACATATTACTATTTTTTATCTCAGGTTACGCTAAAAGGCAACTTAGGGAACATAATAATACTGTACACTCGTGTATAAAAAACAACATTTTGAAGAGGAAATAGTTTCAAGGTATTTATAGAATAAATAATTTAAAATAGAATGATTTGTAAATTTTACAGTCCCTTTCTCGTCAAATACCTTGAATACCTTGAAACTATTTTTTTGCCCACAAGTTTATAGTATTTTAATATTGCCCTTTTATATAGGTAGACTCGAGGTCAGCAATTGGAATTGTTATAATGATGTTCGTATTAACGTATACTTTACATAAGTCCATAGATACTAGGTGGTATTAAGTTTCCATACAAAGATTCGGGATCAAATCACCGCACGAGGGCAAATATTAAGGATTTCCAAGCATGTATTTGACTTTAGTTTCTTATGCAAAGGTATGTCTATGTGTAGTGATATAGGAAAACAAACCAAGACATATAGACATGGGTCTAGAAGATGTCATTTGGCTACGGAACTAAAATCAGACTGTAGATTTATAAATAGATTCAATTGCCATTTATTTGACCTCTTGTTCAGAAATGAATTTTTAGGTATTCTAAAACAGATCGAAAATGAAAAATGTGTCAAAATTGCTTAATGATAAACGTATATTAATGATAAACCGACGAGAAAGGGACTGTAAAATTTACAAATCATTCTATTTTAATTATTTATTCTATAAATAGCTCCATTTGATATTTAGTTTCATTTTCCATCCCAAGGATTATCATAATTGGATGCTATTATTTATTCATTAAAGTATTACCTTCTAATAGATTTTAACCGACTACTGAAATAAGTTGTATTTAAATATAATATACGTATATATATATAAACAGTAAAGAAATTGTCACAATATCATTTGTAGTTCTGCTCTGGTTTGTAACAATTATTTTCAATGCGATATTGTTAATAAAATACTTAATTTGAAATAGTTTAATTATTACACAAATAATTATATACCTATCTACCAAAAAAGAAAAAAAAACTCCATAGACATAAAACTTAGTACACTGCGGTATTATGTAGAGTTAAATAAAATTACTACACGAAGTCCGTTATATCTTGTGACAATAACTATTGAATATTAATTATTAATTATGACAACCATTGAAAGTGACGTATATAAATGTAATTTTTATATTTTGATTTGATCCACACATCAAGCTTGCGTTAATTATAATATGTATTATCATTTGGATGCTTATAAATCGTTTTTCGTTAAATCAGAGACTGCGAGACATCAACGCGGTTGGACATGCTTCTAACTCAAGTGGAACAGTACGCCAATAATTTGGAAGCATTAGTAGAAGAACGCACATCCGATTACTTGGAAGAAAAGAGAAAATGCGAGGAGTTGCTTTATCAACTTTTACCAAAGTTAGTATATCGAGTGAAATAGTTATGTGTGGGTATTCATTATACGAAAAGACCGTCTTCAATCTTTAGAGATATGACAAGTAATATTATGATTACATACAGTAAGGAATATTATGAATAGATACCGTAGGTCTTATTAAAATGTATACGGGACTACATGAGAAATACTAGCTTTCAAATAAGATTTCAACCAATAAAAATCGGTTCACATAGAAAAAAGGTCTGAGTTCTAAACTAAACGATAGTAACAGCAAATGAAGCGAGATAAAAGAATATTTACTCTTTATTGCAAAGAAAAGTTGATTAATCAAATTCTATTAATAAATATCACCTGGCTAGACTTATTAAGGCGATGTTATTTTAAGCTTCGTGTGTAAAAATAGAACTTTCATTATGGACCATTCAATTCATTGTTGTTTGTGCAAAATTAATCACTTTTTCTCAAGTTATATATTTATTTTGTTGTCTTTGTTGAGTTATCATGGACATGTATATTAAATATGAAAAACTAATGATTTTTCTTATAACAAAGAGCAATAAGTACACTTACTTACAATCGTACCTAATCTATGCAGGTTTTTATGGGTAGATAGGCACACAATAGAACTTCCCTCATACGTCACTATAGACAACTAAAAGAAGGACCGAATAGAATCGTACAGTGCAGTACGCACTGTACGATTCTATTCGGTCCTTCTTTTCAGGAATACTTTAAATGTAAATTTTAGTACCTAGTCCTAAGAATTTAATTATCCTCTAGGAAAATTGGTAAACTTATATTTTTTTCATTTTCGATAACTCTGATAGAATTCACCTGAGATGTTGTAAATTCTTCAAAAAATGTATTGGTATTTTGAATTTATAAAAAGATATAATATTACCTATGGATTATTTCTAACTCAAACAAACTTTAGTTCCTTTTGAAGATTTTAATATTTTTATCAAAAATTAGACAAAACCTGATGGTTACCTGTTATGTTATTGTCCTATGTTCTCATAGAAAGTATGACAAAGGAACTTTTCGCTTTAGTAATATTTTGAAATTTATGGAATTGATATCCTGATGAAAAGAAGCTCAAAGAGGGTTGACGTCAGGCAGGTGGCCGGTCTTACAAAAAGACTGAAGTCAAAACCAAGTCAAAATACAAATTGATGATGGTACTATATGATTTCCTGACTATACTAATGGGTATTAGATATCATCGTATTTCATAAGAGAAGGGTATTTTATGATATGATATGTCATCTACGCTATGACCTCTCCGACCTTGATTCCCAAGCGAATATACGAACCATAAAATGGGATCTCGCCAACGCAATGTCTTAGATGAAATAAGTGAGAAACTTTAGGGTATAACCCTATCAAAAAATTTTAGATTTTTATTGATCTATCTATGTGTAGAAACTATATTCTGTCTGGTTGGATATTTGTAGTGAAATATATTTAGACTATTCCCACTTTGAAACGTAAGGTCGGATTGCGACTTAGGGGGTTAAAAACCCCGCTTTAGAGACAGAATTTATCTAATATAATTCGTCGATGCAAACATAACTACTTCGTTAAGATTATTTCATTAAAGCAAGAATTCGGTAGAATTCGTCGAGTTATATGTAATTAATTCTATGGGGCCATGGGTTTTAGTCTGAATTAATTATGTAGATTTTTTTATACCACGTAGGTGGCAAACAAGATTGCCATATGATAGATTATTTATTACTTACATTAGCTTTCTACTATTTTATCTACTGACTACTAAAAGCAACAGTCTGTCTATACCGTCTAGATAGGAAAGTTATAAAATTCGACATATGTTTTTGATGATTGTGGATTTTTATCCGGATTACTCTAATGCTGTTTGTGGTATAAATATTTTATATACGAAAAACTTAAAATATGTTATATACCGAACTATTTACAACATTAAAATGATTATCTAGATTTATCTATACCGTTTAGAGAGAAGGAGGGCAGATCAACATAGGTGATCTATTTTATGAATATGGAATGACTTACTGAAACATCTATTTTATATTGTGATTTAATAGGTGCGTTATGATTGTATTCCACCTGTGTCACCTACAATGTGTGAACTACATACAGTATTAAATGTTTTTATGTTCAGGTCCGTAGCATCACAGCTTATCATGGGTCAACCAGTGATGGCGGAGACTTATGATCAGGTCACAATCTACTTCAGTGACATCATCGGTTTTACCCAACTATCTGCTGAGTCAACCCCACTGGAGGTTGTCGACCTCCTAAACGATCTGTACACAAGTTTCGATTCTATTATTGAGAACTTCGATGTTTATAAAGTAAGTTTTTATTTTTGTCATTTTTATTTCATGTCGAATATGAAGATGGTTTCAAATATATATAGACATAACATGAGATTGAAAATTATATCTAACTATTTCTAACTATTTTGTTTTAGTTTCTCAAATAAAATAAATTCAGTTATTACTTTAAAATATATAAATATTAATGTAATACTATTTATTTTAATAAATATATGTGGTATTCCTATACGTACCTACAAACTTATCAAATTGAATTATTCGTGTCAATACACGACCACTATGTTTTGGAAAATTTTAATTACTCTGCAATCAGAGTAATTAAAATTTTCCAAAACATAGTGGTCTACATACTATATGTAAATTTATTCATATAAAAGATTCAAATATATTATTATGAATACGTACTCTAGAAAAGACAAAAATAAATCTCTTTTAAAGGGTACGTAATTATAATTATACGTTAAAAAAATAAGAGAAAGACGAATAATTCTTATTCTTATGACAGATAGGTAATGGTGCTTAGATAAATGGTTACTATATTTAAAGAAACAATAATGAATCCAAAATAATAGGTAAAATTTTCAAAATTTTGTTTCGATATATTATATTGTCAAATGATTGTTTTAGAAAAAAAAAATAATATAGAAGATGAACAGAAAAACTATATATTGAAATTTTCTAAATATGACAAATAAAAATACGGCATTCTTATTTTAAAAAATGACATAGAAAAAAGAATTTAACATAAAACCTATACAATATGTTAAATCTAGTAAATTGAACATGACAAAATATCTTTTTACTTAACTTCTAGACATGGAAATGGACATTGGAAAACTTGCACGGTCATAAATTACATTACATACCGTACAGATAAAGTCTCGAGTAGTTCTTTAAAGAAACATTCTGTTGCAGCGTCTTTTGAGTAAAGTTACAAAGAACCAGCTTTATTCGATAGTCGTAAATCGTTAGAACTCTGTGGCAGGGCCACACAGAATATAGATTTGAACCGAGAAAAGTGAAACTCTTCGAGTGGTGATACGATTAGGACTGACATGTAGCTACCTGGAAAAATGGCGACCCATTTGTAATCTATTACAGTTTTACTTTCAGTATGGATTTAGTTGTAGCTGGCCATTATTGTCATTAACATCTAATTGGTACATTTACTATATATACGAATATTACTATATATACGATATTACTAATTGAGCGTTCGGAAATATAAGACATTATGGAGCGTATTACAATATCAAGTATCATCTCTATCTGCACATATTAATGTTAAGCTACATTAAAGTTATTCAATATAGCAAAAAACAGTAAGCATCGTTGCATAGTTTAAATGGACTTAAAGGCTATAAATCTTGTGTTTTAATAAAAAAAACTATTTGTTCATATTAAATTCCGATTTTTTTATAAGATCGTTCTCCTGATAATAACAAACATAATAGAAAAAGGATTTTTGAAATCAGTCCAGCCGCTAACGCGTGATACAGTGACTAAAGGAAATAGGAATTCATTTATATATCTATATATTTATGACATTTTTATATGGACAGTATACGATAATATTTATGTTTATTAACTCGTACCTCGTACCATTTGGTCACTACGATATTTTTTTAAATCCACGGCACAGCAAACAAGCTCACTGCACATCTGATGGTAAACGGTTATGGTTGGGCTATGTATGTGGAGTAATTATTGTTGTTGCTCGTATAGGTGGAGACGATAGGAGACGCCTACATGGTGGTATCTGGGTTACCAATGAGAAACGGCAATCGCCATGCAGCTGAAATAGCGAGGATGTCGCTGGCTTTGCTAAGAGCTGTGCGGTTGAAGACTGTGCCCCATCGGCCTGGGGAGCGATTGCTGCTCAGGATTGGGATGCACACAGGTTTGACAAAGCAGATATAATCAAAAACAATATTGGGGCAGTTGTGGTGAAGGTGAATCGCCTGGTGGAAAATCCGACGCTCTCCGCCACTGCTTTGATATTGTCACTAAGTTTAATGTCTTGTGGCATATACACGTATTATCTATAGATATATGTATGTATATGTATATATATACTTTTGTAAATTTTATTAGATATTTTTAAGTTTCTATGTAACAAATATATTACATATATTTAAAATATTTGTAATTTTTACTAGATTTGTTTGTGAATAGGCTTATCCGTTCGATTAACTCATCTCCAAAGAGAACTTTCAAAACAACCATTCAACTCAAATTCAATGGAGTCGCTACGAGCCGTCCAACTCTATCGGTTGTTGTTGTTGTGAACTTTTTTGTCGATTTATTTTCTTAAATTGAATGAATGTGACTAAAATGTACTTTGTACGTTTCAACTTTTAAGTGAAAACGTCTAATTAAACTGTAATAAAAAAATAGTCATACAGAGATATTCATTGTCCTATGCCATTGCTTTAACTGTGCGGAGCAGTTTGTTACCTTTTTGAATGAAAAAATGTTTTATTAGCGGATGTCAAATACTAACAAGACTTAGTCATTTTTTCTCTTTGTAATAGTCAGAACCAGACTATTTTAGAAAATGAAAAAGTTTGCTTAATAAAATCTTTCGAATCGGAACATAATTATAGAATTAATTACGGACAAATTGACATCAGAAATCTGATCTCATTTTCTTCATTAGTACATAGGTATATGTGAAGCAGTAGCGGCCAGCTATATACATAAGTTATTAAATTCTTATACAACAGTAGCACGCAGGCGCTACTACCAATTAAGAATATGCCAATCGCACTTACCAAATAGGATTACAGCAATTCTGAATGTCTTATAATGTAATAATTATATGTAGGCAACCAATTTAGTGTTAGTGTGATTTGTTGGTTAATAATAAAACATTTTACTTTCTAGAAAGTAAAGGATATTTTTTCATCGTAGGTCCTTGTGTGGCGGGTGTAGTTGGTCTAAAAATGCCTCGATATTGTCTCTTCGGTGATACAGTGAATACTGCTTCACGAATGGAGTCCCATGGGGAAGCTCTCAAAATCCACGTCAGCCCAAAAACAAAAGAGATTCTCGATATTTACGACTGTTTCGAATTGGAATGCAGAGGCGAGATCACTATGAAGGTATTATAATACATTTTAATAACACTCGTTACATACGCGTTGAAATAAATATCGTCTATTTACTTTCATAAGTACTATTTTTATTATTATTATTATGCATATCATTAGTACTCATTATATAGAAGCAATGATATGGATGTTTAACAAGCGCACGGATTATCTGATAGACTGTGGCATCTAACCATGGCTATTGAAATTTAGGGACCCAAGATTGGCATTGTGTAAAATCTAAGGATTATATTGTTTTAGTAACTTTACTGCTACAATGCCATTTCAATCGAAATACTTTAATTAAATAATTTATTTAAATAAATATCATGTACGACATTAATGTCGTACATGATACAATATATTAGATACTTGTATGTGAAATATATAGACCTATTGTAAATCTATAATCTGACATCTTTTTGTAGGGTAAAGGTAAAATGACAACATACTGGCTAATTAGAGAAAAATCTAACAATCAACAATCTCAATCATATGAGGAATTGAATCACATTCAGACAGACATCGTGAACAATCCCAGTATCACTTTTCAAGGACCCGACAGTCCGGCGTCCCACTCACTCACACAAAGTCAAAGCCCTGAACGAGGTACTGATACTAAGGATACAGGTAATCATAGACCACTTGAAATATTGAGTGAAAGAGATCGCATAAAACACGAGATAGCAACATTCGTTGCGAAAGATCTTATCAACAATATCGACAACGCCGTTAGAGAATTCAGAAAATCACAAAGCGCAAATTTTGCATCAATCATTCCCGCGAAACCAGTGTGTAATGGTAGCAATAAAAGTCAGATCACTCCTACATATGATAAAGAACTTGTCATAAGCAAAGGAAAAGTACGAGACGTTGTAAACAGATTCAACAGTTGTGTTATCAATGACAGTGGGAGCATTGTGACGAAATCAAAAACTATGAAACCTGAAGACTGAACGTAATGGTAAACTATACGCTTATTGTTTTTCCCTGCCCGGTCTAAAATATATACTGGATTTAATATCTAGTATTCAGAATTTTATTAGATAATATGTAATCTATGCATTGTGCCTAGCACACAGTGATTTCCTTTTCTGGTCATTAATTCTAAGATAAAATATATCTATATTAAATTATTTGTTGACTAGAGAAATATAGTTTATAGTGGGTGACCAAGTACCCTCCGAATTTTAGGTAATAATGTTATTGTAGTAGATACTCTATGTGCGTATATTAAGAGAAAATCGTGAAGGCGATTTATCAGAAAGATGTAGTGAGATATTAATAAATATGAGACGATATAGGAGTACTATATTGTATTATACACCTAGTCCCTGTAGTGTTTTTACTGACCTTTTATACTTCCGTACCTTTCTAATCAATTGTATACTTATAGTAGTAGGTAATGTATCTAAAATACCTCTTTAAACTAAAAATCTAACTATCGTTGTATGAACTTGCGAGTCGTTTTATTATTTATGTTGATAGGTCTTGAAAATTGCTTTTGTCTAGAAAATACACATTTAAGTTAATATGTTTATTTTATTCTAGAATCTCTATTCTCTGTGTGAAATGATGCTGTTGTAAAAAGCAATTTGTGAAGTAAAATTATCATCGGTGTATTTACTTGCGTATGATATCTGTATCATTTACTTTGTATGATTTCTATTAGATTTTATTACAGCGTAAAGAACAGTTGAGTTCATTCATTTATATACAGTTAAAGTACGTATTGCATAAACTCTTTAGCTTTGTAGGGATATTGTACTTTTTTATTATTTTAGCGCCTTTGTTGTGCACTCATTAGTTGCATGAAAAATAGAACTGCGCGACTGGAAATATTTTTTATATTATAAAGGTACAGTATCTCTAGATATAACGCTTCTCTATACACAATATTTATTTCAGATATTTAGTCCCTTAGATTTGCGATCAATAATGCCATGTTGATTAAGTTATTCTAAGTATATATGATTTAACAGTAGAGTACAAGTAAGATTTTAATTTGCAATCAGTCACAACTTAACGTAGATTAAGTTGTACCCAGTATGTTGTAATTAGGAGTAATACTAAGTATATTGTTTATTGTTGATTTAATTCCGTTTTCGTATTGTTCTGTGTATTCATTTACATAATTAGAAATATTTAAATGTATTCTCATTTGTTTTCGTAATTTGCTTCCAATTTTTGTTATAATAATAATATATCTATTTGTCTAACGTAGAAGGTAGCAATCATTGAGATAATGGCGAATTTTTGTTGTAATAGAATTTGATCCATATACTTTTAATAAATAACATACAAGTTCATTGGCAAAAGGAAATCTCTGATTTAATTAAGAAAGTTTTTAAGGATGTTATGTCTCTGTATTTAAATTATATCTGCTCAAATGGTAGATTTCATTAAAATAAATGTAAAATCCTTCATAAAAACTAAAATACGAGTAATACAAGTTTTACCGTGATCAGTCTACAAAAAGATCGATTTCAATCGCATTTAGAAGGATTACTTAAAAACTAAGGGCCAGAGAGACGTGAGAGATGGCTCTCAAATAAAAAAAAAGAATAGTCAAAGTCGATTCACATAAATCGCAGTACTCCGTGGGTTTGTCCGCATGATATAAAGACTAAAGCATTTGGAAAAGAATCTCTTGTGAAAGAATTAAAAAAAAATGAGAAAGCAACCAATTTTTTGTATATTTTATTGCAATTAAAAACAAAGCTACTGCAAGCTTATTATTAATATACAAAAAATTGGTTGTTTTCTCTTTAAAATTTAAATACAGCTAAAAGGTTTTGTGCAGAAAAAGCATACTTATCTTTCTATTTTAATAATTTATGTATCATGGAATCATTCGAATACGTAACTAAGATCTTCAAATTCTAAACGCAAGCAATGAAATCTATTATTCGGTTAATTAACTTTATGGAGCTTACCTCAGATTGGCTCTTAAATGTTGATATTTCTAAGTTAATGTAACTTAAGTATATGAAGCAATTTTCAGAAAGTTTTGCAATTCGAGCAAATTCACGTGAATTATTTATGTTTGATAAGATTCGTTTTTGTTTGAGACTGGTTGAAAGTTTTGATGATGTTAAGTTGTTATATTATATTCATTCATGTTTAGGAGTTTTAATGTATGTAACAAATTGATTTTATTTAAGCATATTTAGGTACAATTTAGTTTGCCATAGAATCGAAAGAAAAAGTGCAAAATAAATGACGAAAACGTTACGGGGTTAGTTTTAAGGCAGAGTCAGTTAAACCAAAGTTGAATTTATTTTTACCCATTTTAAAGTGCTAAGTGGTATTAAATAATCAAAATATATGTGATTACTAATGATATTAGTATATAGCTATTTGGATAATTAAAACGAGGCATGGTAAATTAAAAACATAAATAGAATTATAATTTTAATAGTGTACTAAACATTATGACATTCTCTATATAAGTACCTAGACTTCAATGCAGTATTTCTGTAAGACCTACCATTCCCAGTCCTATTACAGGATTATTTTGATTTTTTTTATTTAATTAGATCATAAATATTCACAACAAAATAGGAACCAATTTTAAATCTTTTCTGCTATATTATTTTGTCAACAGTTGTTCTATGTATTGTTGTTTTCATGAACGATTTCTATTGCGTTGTATTTTAAATTCGACTTATATTTGAACCAAACGACAGTAACATTGTTCTCTCTTAAGCGTTTTACAAGCATCATTTCTATGCTTGCATTGTACTCGAGAATAATATTGTAGAAAAATATAATCTTAAAAGAAGTCTGGCATCTCGAGATGTATTTATAACATTTCCTAGTATGATTTAAAACTTTAAATTTCATATAATTGATATTAATTTTATATTATGTCTTATTTCTAGACTTCACTGAATTGAGTGAAATAAAAACATCACGTATTTATAATATGAGATAAGAATTAAAGGCATATATTATTCAAATAATTTGATGCTGTCTGTTTGTGTACATATAATATCAGTAATTAAATTATTTAATGTAATACGATAACAATGATCTCTAATTGGTGTAACCAAACCTGTCTATGGTGATATTACTATTATTGGAGTACAAGTAGGTATATGTTTAGAGCTGTGAAAATAAAAAATATTTTACTTTAATGAATAGGTGTCTCAAGTTCCTTTGTATAATGTAAATGTTATTGTTTGCGTTATGTTTTAGTAATACAAATAAAATTTATGCGTGAAAGTTCGTTTATTTACTGCCTTTTGCATAAATTAAAAATAAGTTTTTTGTGATGTTATTATTGTATAAAGATAATGATTAAGTTTAATTTTTATATTTTTTATATTTAGCTTTTAGTATTTTACTTTTTATTCTAATTATATAATGATAACACCACATTAAACATTTCAAATAAAAATCTACACATACATATATTACTATAGCAATACTTAAACTTAACAGGCGAAAGATGGAATTCAAATCTGCCTATATATTTGTTATTTTTTAGTTTTATATACGTATTAACCTAACTGAAAGTGGTTCGTATTTTATTAAATACATATAAACAAAATATTAATACTTCACTGAGAGTAGACAACGATATAAAATCCTATATAGAATTAATTCCTGTCTTGTGAGGAGAGGGAGGAGAGGTTACGACACTGTTTTTATCTTAAAATCTATATATAAAGGGGTTATTCATAGAGCTCATTTATCGAGTATTACAATTACAACTTCTCTTTACAAAAATATTTTTATTTGTATAGTCAACAGACACTAATGTAGTATATTTCTTAACATATTAGGGATGCCAATAGTAGGAGAATCCGCTTGTAATATTGTACTAAACTTTGAAATATGGAGATCTAGAAGTATTTTTTTTTTGATAACTGTAATGACAATTGTTTGTTGTACCATCGGAAGTGGTAACTGTCGTGAACAGCACTATTTTCATAACGTTATCGTGATAACTCCAGTGATACCACTCGTCCATTTTAATTCCAGACGACAAAGAGGTCACGCCTCTTATCTTGTAACTTCACTGCTATATCTCACCCGTAAACCTATTATTAAGTTCCGACTTTAGTACACAATTTTAATTATTATATACAGCGTATAAAGTAAGAATTCCCTTGTACGAGGCAAAAAGTTTTAAGGTTGGCAACCCTTCCTACAATGTTGGGTGATTATTTACCACAACAGTTTCGAACTCGGAACATTAATGTTGCGGGATGCGGGATACGGGATACTAAAGGTAAATATTTATTATATATCCTGTACTACATTTAATTATAGCAGGATAATCTTAGATGATTAATTGCAATTATAGAGATTACAATGTGAGAATTGTATTTTGTAATTAGTAGCTGTCACCAGCAGTAAGCTCGCGTTTGATTATTAGTAATGGATTTCTATTATAAGTAAATCACGATTATATTTCAATTATTAGAATATAATGAACGTTGTTTAGTGCTTGTACTATCTAATTTAATTATAATAGGATTGATTTTTAATTGAAACCTTGTTTAAAGTAATTTAATTAAATTGTACCTTGAAAAAGGTATTGCCTAAGTTTTACCATAAAAAAGTGAAGTAGGTAAGACTGAGGTACGCAGATAATTTTTTACAGTTCTAAGGCCCATGAAAATCTAGTTCACTGCTTATACTCTAATATAAATAAATTCATAAAAATATTATAATATTCGTAGATGAAAATATCACTTAAGCAAAATATAGTATTGTTGTTAAATATATTATTTTTTTATTAGAACTCGATGGAAAAAACAGTAAAAAACAAATAAAAATCACAAATTAGGGCCTACTATACATATTTATAATAAAAATGTGTCTGAATATAAAAGGTATAATAAAAAACTGTTATTAACGGATTAATAGAACTCATAACAAAGACGTATTTGCGTCTGTGCGTCTGTGTGCGTTAATCTAAGATATGACTAAACCGCTTTAAGTG